TTTACCAACGGGAGCAGAGAACATCGTAATCGCTGTTGGTTTTACCAACGGGAGCAGAGAACATCGCAATCGCTGTTGGTTTTACCAACGGGAGCAGAGAACATCGCAATCGCTGTCGTTCCTAACGACGGGAGCAGAGAGGCATCAACCTGGGCGTCTGCAGTAACCAGCGGCTTTCCACGAGGTCAACTCAACGCCTTCCTCACCACAACGGAAAAAGCGACGGCACACCACCCAGCCGTCCAGCTCTCCAGAGGAAACTCTGCCAGTAAAGAAGAGCCAGACACGGATCCGATCTGCGGTGACAGTACCTCCAGCCGGACAGGTTACGAGACGCCCCTCGCCTCTGCCAGAACAGTCTCTCCAGGACGATTGGATTCCCACCACGCCGCCACGGGCAATCACTCCGGACTACTCGCATGCACGCCGGTCTCCACCAACCGCTACCGAACAGCCCGAGCCTCCAGTCACGTGGTCCTTAGTACGTCTGACGTTACAACCGCCCAGATTTAGTCGACCACGGCATCCACCGCTAGGACCACTGGATCCACGGAATACACGTCCGATATCACCAAGATCCGATATCGTCACTGCGGATAAGTGGACCCAGACCGGCTCCTACACATCATCGCGGAGGCTTAAGCAGCGGGATAGCCGGAATCAGCGAGCTCCGCTGACCGACTCAAACAAGTTCTTCTAAGAACTTACAACCGGCCCTTTTCAGGGCCCCAATATATCGAACGACGAACAGATCGTCGGAAGGCTGACCATCGGTAACATAGCTCCCACACTGTTACCCGGTCAATACAAACAGTATGAGACGAGTTCAATGTCGAGGTAGGACACCGCGATTCCCGCTCGCGAGAAGTCCTTTGCACGTACTGCTATACACATTTAGATGACGAGGAGAAAGAACGTTTCGGTAGAGACTCTAGACACTTCCTTTATCTTAGCAGCATTGGGCCATACGCCAGCTATTCATAATTCGGTTCGCCTCCGAGTGTGGCGAATGTTCCGCGGAAGTGTCGCGTTTTTGTAGATATGTACTATCTTCAGGCGATCGCCCTTTCGATTCGAAAGAGGCGACTATAATTGCTCACGGAAGGAGCACGGGTTTGTGAAGAATTATTTTATCAGCAACTCAAATTCGAAATTTTCGCTGATTCCAATTGTATTTTGAGTCGTGAAAAATCATAATCAATTGGGTAACCCTTGTACTCGACGTATTATAGTCCGGACAACCATTTCTTTGGCCCGCGACTCGTACGCTCGTAACAAAATTGGTGACAGCGGTGGGATACCTACATTGACGACTAAATATTGGCTCCCGAGCCAAGTGTCTATCGTGTCTGATTTATTGCCCTTTAGACAATCGCTAAAATTACCATGCCCCTCGCAACCGATCGAGAGCTTCGTGGCGCGAAGACAAAAACAGCAGGCAACGTCGAAGGCGCCATCGGAGGCACCGTCGAACTTACGGAAAAAGAACGCGAAATTTTGCGTGAATACGAAAGATCTTACGGAGAGAAGGAGGCGCGGATGCGCGCCCAAGAAAAAACGTTACGTACAAAAACCGAAGAATTAGAGATGGCACGCTTGAACTTCGAGAAAGAACGCGAGCATATACGTAGCGAATTAGCAGCACGAGAAAAGGAGATTGCGCTTAGGGAAAGTAACGCCGAGAAGAGGTGGCCGGATAACTCCGACCTTCTCGGGGACCACAGCCATGCTGGGGCGACGATCGTCAGACATTTATAACAACAATGACAACTCATTTTGGGTGTAACTATATATTCTGTTGGCGCACAAAACCCGTGCCATCTGGATTTGATCAGACCATGAGTCTCCCGCTGGGACAGGCGTTCCCATGGACGCAGAACGAAGTCTCAACCCCGATTACCTCCGATCGCGGTACTCGGGATGCTTCGCCAAAAGTATCGTTCCGCGACGCTACCGATTCAGTCCCGAATTTCGATGGGTACAATATTTCTGTAAATCAGTTTGCTCGCGCTTGCCGACGCGCCCGCGAAATAATTCCCGCGGGATCCGAAGCGTACCTCACGAAACTATTAATTAATAAATTGCGTGGCAGAGCATACTACGCGGTAGAGGACGAGCCATGTAAATCCGTTACAGATCTGATAGATTTACTCGTGAATGCCTTCGGGTCGCCCAAAACGATAGATCAGTACCGCGGCGAATTAAGCACTATATTTTTGAAGCCGCACGATTACGTAAGTCGTGCGAAGGAGCTGCGCTCCAACATACTCGACGCCGAGCGCCGCAATAAAGGGACGCTCACCCCTGAATTTAGTACGGAAATCGACGATCTGACAGCGCGATCATTTTTCGAGGGCCTTCCATTAGAATATCGACTGCAAATGGGTCCCGAAATACGTCAAGATTACACTGCCGCGTTCGCCGCCGCGAAGACGACAAGAGTTAGATAAGCAACGGTACGATCCTCGCTCTAGAAACGAACCTGCGTACCGAAATATCAATTCCATGGGACATCCTTTAGCCCACTCCACCCCGCGTAGGACAGAACGCGAAAAGTATCGCCCTAACGTGGAGTATCGGAACTCCCCGCGACAGAGTTACGAGAGAAACGACCGAAGCCCCCCAACGCCGCGCCGCGACGCGAGAAATCAAAATTACCAAGCGCATGAAACGCGAACCGACGTAACGCCAAATCGCGAAAATTCACAAAATCAACAGCGCGAATCTCGACCGAGTGTAAAATATTGCCGATACTGTGTTACGAAATAGGCTCTCTATTTAGGTTGTAACGTACGGACAGAAGTCCTTCAATATCAAAACACCTTGGAACATCAGTCTCTTCGGAGGCCGTTCACAGTTATAATTTATAGTTAGCGTGCGCAGCGAAGGGATTGACCAAGGGTCACCGAGCGCTGGACAGTAAACTCTCTAAAAAGAAAAAAAAGAGAAACCGTTGAGTTGTAAATCTTCTTAAAAAAAAGAGAAACCGTTGGGTTGTAAACTTTCCAAAAACGGAAAAACCTTCTCCCTCTACTAGAATAAGTCCCAAAATGGTGGGAGGCTCCAGCAGGGGAAGTTCGCACCATTTCGGGTATAAATAAGGGCGCAAGACGGCACGCAAGTCAGTCTTAACCAAATTTTCCTACCAGCCTAGTCTGAGCAATCTTCAAGACTCGCAATCAGATTTTGTAGAACATACAGTCGCAATACTTGGAAAAATCTTTGAACATCTCGCTCGGACTTAGGAAATAACGACTTTAGCCCGAGTTATACTTTTTTGTAAGCCAGCAAGAATAAAGGTAAAGTTAACGAACTTTCAAGATTTGACTCAACTCCATTCACATTCGTATCCTCCTCTCTCTGATCCCTGACGAAGAGTGTGGCGAACAGATATATCTTCCTCTCTCTGATCGCTGACGAAGAGTGTGGCGAACAGATATATCTTTCCCCTCTCTGATCGCTGACGAAGAGTGTGGCGAACAGATATATCCTTCTCTCTCTGATCGCTGACGAAGAGCGTGGCGAACAGAATTCTCTCTCTCTCTCTCTCTCTCTCT